GGAACTTTTTCATGCAGTTTTCTTTTTCTAAAGGCTCCAATAATTTTGACCCACAATTTTCCTTTTCTAAGGACTGTTCTTTTAATAGCGTAGGATGCATACGCTTCAAATGATCCATTAGGTTCGTCGTGTTTCCACCGGTTTTATACTGCTTACCGCACTTGCCAAACTATCGACGTTCCCCTTTTGCGTTTTTCTACATGCTGCATATCAAGCACCTTCATCGTCCTTGTTGCCATTTGATATTGATGTTACTAAAATAATAAAAATATATGAATAAATTAGCGCCTTTTCAATGCTTCTGCATACCAATACATACATACACATGTATACATTTTTACTTGTATGCCGAGCGTCATTTAGAAACAATACTTACGTTTCACAAATGTTTCAATATTGTAGCACCACGCCCACAACCAACACACTATTTAAATTTCACTACATGTGATCAAAACTTTAATAAAATAAAGTCAAAAATAAAATTTACCAATTTTACTTAAACGTTGCCCTCAATGCACAGATACAATAAAAAAAATCGACAGTGGCCCAAGAACCATCGATGTTTAGAAAATTTAAGAAACATCGATAGTATCGATAGTGCTATCGACTGTTTTCCAGCTCTACCACATAAGTCGGAGTGCCAGCATTTTCACGATTATTTTGCTAAGATATTGGGTTAATGATATTAGACGATACCCATTTATTTCGTATGTTTTTTTTGTTAGGTTTAGGGATGAGGAATGACTGTGGAAGATCTCCAAGTGTGGGGGTAAATGCCTGTGGAGAGCATAGAGTTATAGATATCAAGGATTCGTAGTTTAAGGCTTTGAGGGGTGTGTTTTAACATGGGATAGAAGATTCTATCGGAACTGGGAGTTTTACCTACGGCTGCGTGAAAAGCCGTTTCGAATGCTATGTTAAAAGAAGAATCCAGAGTTTTTGGTGTTGGTGATAGGGCAGTAGGATTGTAGGATGAGGTAGAGTAAGAATCTTTACGGGCTATGTATTCCCAGCTAAAGTTATCATCCGCACCATATTTGGACCAGACTTGACTGAATTTTTCGGCAATGGTTAAAAAGTCTGTTAATAAACTGTCTGTTTTTGAAACTGTCGTCTTTTTACGAGTTGAGGCTGGGGAGAATCGGCGCAGATTTTGCCAAACTTATCCCAGTTGGCTAGGTCGGTTTTGTATTTGGGAATCGGTAGGGTTTCATCGGGGCAAAATGTCATGGCAAGAGCGATAAAAATGGGGAAATGGTCGCTACCGTGCAATTGGTCACTAAGCACCGGTTAAGCATTGCGGGGGATATTAAAGATATTGTATCTACATGAGTCAGAGAATTGTGAGTGCAAAGGTGAGTTCCAGAGCCATTGTTGAGAAAAAAAATTGTTTTGTTTTTTGTTAGTGGGAGTCAATGTGAGCTGATTTGGGGTCAGCATCACTCATAGAAGCATCAGACTCAGAGGAGGTGTCGGATTTCGTTTCCTTTAATAGCTTATCGGCATCACTTCTGAGGGCGCGGCTATATTCTAAACTTGCAGTAAGATTTTTGCTGATTGTGGAGTTTGGTTATTGCTCCGAGCTTACGCTGGGAACACTAGATATCGTGAGAGTAGATGGAGAGCGAGTGAGTGTTGTGTTATCTTTCATTGCATTGGAGGTGTTTATCATGCTTGAAGAGGGTGTATAGGAGAGAGGTTGTTCCTGAGAGACTGGCTGGGCAGCCTCTTGGGAGTGCTTGGAGATATTCGTAATGCTTTGATAAGCGTTGCAATTGTTATTTTGTTTGGTAAAATTGCCGTTGTTGGAAACAGTACGTGCATAATTCGATGATGTTGCATGTTTCGCAAGTCTTGCACCTCATAGGATTGGGAAAGTACTCCCTGGCCTTGACGGTGTGCCATGAGATGTCTAGCTTGCTGGGTAGGTTGTAGAGATCGAAAGTTACGAGAATAACACCGGAGGGATTTAGGATGCCGTCGACTTTCCTGGTTTAACACCGAGTGGACGTTTTGGCTGCCCAGTTCTTTAACGGTTTCGTCTTCAGGGATATTAATTAGAAAAGGGGCATAAATGGGTCCTTTAACAAAGTTGAGGGAATCATGTAATTTTCACTCAATATCGCAAATTCCAGCTAGGTTGCTTTTCTCGTGAATTTACCGGGTGCGGTTTTGTTTTTAACGAGCATTAAAAGGTTGCCATCCGGAAGAGTTGAGATCGACAGAATTTCTTTGCAAATAATTTTAAACGCACCATTTACAGCAAAGCAAGAAAACTCGGAAAATTTTTTGTTTGTGTTTTTTGACGACATAGTGATAAACTTTGCGTTTTCTTTTGTGGTTTCGGGTAGTTCTGGAAACACCTCTTGAAATTTTTGGAAAGGTTTTTTTTTTTGATTTGGGGCTATCGCTAAGCAATGCGTAGCGGGTAATCCACTAAGTTTGGGAGCATATTAATAAGCAAATTATTAATATATTGAGACTGTTAAGCTTAGGCTTGAACACTTGCACTGAAGAAAATTAATAAATAACCGTTTTAAGCGGATAAGCGGGTGAAATAATGCCACGAAAACAAGACGGGTTTACACCGGAGATAAGGCACTGACGTCTGCGCTCGATGAGAGTTAGTCGGTGACTGAAATAAAAAAACCCTTTGGCCAAAAAATTCGAATTCGAATCCGAGTTCATTTCCATAGTATATTTTGATTATTTCAAATATGATAAAAATTATCTTTTGCAAGGTTTGACGACAAGTCATATGGAGTGACATGAGAACAATTTGAAAATACACTTGATGGAGAACCTTAACGTATGAAATAGATTGTACTTCTATTAATAATATTGTTTATATGTATACAAAAACATAGCTCGCAAATAACCATTCTTTGAATCTTAGCCCAAGAATAACTTTTGTGTAGGGGCCGTTTGAGCAAAGAGTCAGCGAAGAACCGCTCTCCGGAAAGAGAAAAACAATTTGTAGTATGTTCTTCGAACCAAAAACCAATTTTGAGTATTTATTTCGCTTCGCTCCATTCGCTGACTGTTTTGTAGCAAGCGGAGAAAATAAAATTTTTTCTTGCATATTGGGTTTTTGGGTTAAACCACCTTTTAATTGTCAAACTAAATAATAAATAACAAGAAAGGAAAGCTAACCTGGGGCCGAGATCTTGTAGTTAAGAAAAAAAGAATTTAAAAACTGTTACCCAAAAAACTGAAAAATATGAAAAAATACATGAAAAAAATTTCCAAAAACAATAATGTACTGGCACTACAACGAGATTTCTGTTTTCGGGGCGTGGCAAAATGTTGACCGATCCGATTCCATAGGAGTTCCTAATCTCCAAGATCCACGCGTTCATAATTTCGGCCAATTTTTATGGGATATATGGGTATGGGTATATATGGGTATGGGTATGTATCCTCTATAAATCGGCCGATTTGATTTTCAAATATAAATTAATTTTAGAAATAGTTTGAAGAAGTGGCCAAAAGTTTTTCAAAAATCATTCCTGTACTGGCGCTACAGAAATGTTCGATTTATGGGGGCGAAAGGGGCGTGGCAAAATGCTGAAACAAATTTTAACTGCATGGGCATTATAGGACATGCTTAATTCTTTTCATCCAACTTCAGGACAGTGAATGACTGTCGCAGATCTTTTAACGACATGGTGGAGCATCATGACTCCACCTCATGTGGGTGCCCGGACATAGAGTGCCCGGACCACGAGGGAAATTGCGCCGCTGATGAACTAGCAATGGCAGGTACTACCATTAGGTAGGAAATGGAGGAATCTCCAGAGCTGCAGAAACTTACGCATGATATGGCCCACCCGCTCTACGAAAAGATCAATGTTGCTTATCTCCCTCAACGCCATCACGGGGCACTGGTTAATAGGAACGCATGCGGCTAGACTAGCGCTGCCATACCATGATTACTGTAGGAGCTGCGTGGATGTAGAAGAGGAGGAGACAGTCACACACCTCCAGTGCCACTGCCCTGCGCTTGGGCGTAGTCGACCCAAACTCCTGGGTGCAGCAACACTCACGGACCTAACAGACCCGACGGAGATCGTTCCACGTGGACTCGTTGCCTTCATCCAAAAAGCTAGATGGGACCGCGAGCCGCCTCAGGAGGGGTAGTATACCTTGGGCACTTTAGATAGGATGGGGTGGGGTTCCCTTGCGGAATGTCTTGCCTGTGAATGTATATACTTAAGTTAAAGTTAAGATGGAATACATGAGTACCGAGTATAATATAATCGGGAACTCGACTATAGCCGTCCGTTCCTTTATTTCTGAAAACAACATGTTTTTACGGAGAAAAGTGTTTTCATAACTTGGGAAGTGCTCATTCGAATTTTTAAATTAGCAAAAAGCGAAACAACCATCTACGTTTTCTTCCTTAGTGAATGGCCTGCTCTCTTTGTTCCTTGCTGCTTACGTACAAACACCACTGCTCTATGAAAAATTTGACCACACTTCAATGAAAACATTCATAAATTCTTAGAAAGTTTGCTTAACGGGGGAAATACAATTAAAAGGCCTAAAATGAGGCCTATCTTTGGGAGTGGATTGCAAGTAGGGAATTGAATGAATCTTAGCGATTCTTTTTGCATGTTATTAGGAAATTATTGGGCAATGAAAATCAGTCAAGTTTTTCGAAAAATATTGTAATTAAGCCTATTTATGATCAATAATATACATCAATATTATAGGTACTTCCCCACACATTCATAGTAAATAGGTATTTTAATTGAACTAAAAAAAATAATTTCTAGAAAACAAAAAGGGGCAAAACAGCGATTACCGGGGTTGCTTAGTATTTCATAAAATTTACAACGGTAAAAAAGTAATATAGCTGATCAAATATTTTAAATTATTTTAGTTCTCAAATATTTTGATGACCTAACAAATTCATTACAAATTTCCGTAGGTTTTTGGGGTCTCTTCAATTATTATAAAAATATTAACTTTATTTATTTTTATTTCTATCTCAACAGGGCTTCGAGTAACAGACATCGGAAGTCACAGCCGTTCAGGTACACATGAGCCCTGTTGGCATTTTTGAAGTCTTCAATTCGTAATAAAATTCTCGAAATATACAAAAATATATTTAAATGTGTGTGCTGAATTAGTTTAGCTTACCACGTTCGAGCCAATAATATCTAATTACAGAACCAATATTTTTCCTAAAGACTAAACTATTAAGAAAACTATAATTTAATTCGCAATGTAGTTGAGTTGCGACGAAATTTAAGTAATAAATCGTATAAATCAGACACATTTTTATACAAAAATCAAAATTGACTTGGAAAGTTTGATGAATAGGATTGCAAAAACAAATATATTTAATTTTGCCAATAAGTTTAATTTTCCTCCCGTACACAACCCATTTCATCTTGCATGAGTTTAACTCGGCAATTTTTACGTAAATAATTAGTTTCTGGACTTTTAACCGAGTTATTTTAAAATTAAAAAAGTTCAAAATGGCCACCGTTAACGTTAACCGAAGTGTTACTGACATCTTCTATCGTTATAAAATGCCACGTTTGCAAGCAAAAGTGGAAGGAAAGGGCAATGGTATCAAGACAGTCCTTGTAAACATGGCAGAAGTAGCTCGCGCTATTGGGCGCCCTGCTACCTATCCAACAAAATATTTTGGATGTGAGCTCGGTGCTCAGACTCTATTTGATCATAAGGTAATTTCAAGTTGTCTGTCTACTAGTGAATGTTAATAAACCTTGAATCATGATTTTTTTTTTTTAGAATGAGAGGTTTATAGTAAACGGATCCCATGATGTTAATAAATTGCAGGATTTGTTGGATGGATTTATTCGCAAGTTTGTATTATGTCCTGAATGTGACAACCCGGAGACAAATTTATCAGTGTCTGCCAAAAACCAGACTATTTCTCAGTCGTGCAAGGCATGCGGTTTTCATGGTTTATTAAAAGTAAACCACAAAGTCAACACATTTATTGTGAAAAATCCACCATCTCTAAACCCAACCTCTCAGGGCTCATCGCTAACTGAAGGCAAGCGCTCGAAAAAGCAAAAACAGAAACACGAGAACTCTGACGGTTCTGTATTCAACAACTCAGTCGCCAACAATTCTGGGGGTGAATCTGATGGAGGTAATGGAAAAAATCAAGCCAGCCAAACTGAGGCTGAAATAAGCGCTGCCATTCCAGAAAAAAAGTCGGAAGATGACGATGATGAAGGTTGGAGCGTTGATGTATCTAAGGTAAGTTTTAAAATATTATCGAGTAAGGCGAGATAATATTTCAACTGTTTATTCCATTTAGGAGGCCATTCGTGCACGTTTACAAGATTTAACAGATGGCGCTAAGGGTATGACAATTTCGGACGATTATGACAAAACTGAAAAAGAACGTATTGACATTTTCTATGAATTGGTCAAGGACAAACGTGACAAAAAATATTTGCAAGATGTACCACATCACAAGGATTTGTTTATTGAGGCCGAGCGTCTGGATATTATTAATAAAGCTCCACTAGTTCTTGCAGAACTTCTCTTCACTGAAAATATTATCTATGATATTCCAACATATCGTAATTTATTGCTGCGATTTACTCATAATAACCCAAAGGCTCAGCGGTACCTAATTGGAGGAGTTGAACAAACTATTGAACTGCATTCAAGCTCATTAATAAACAAAACAGCGATTATTTTTAAAAAGCTGTATGATTCGGATGTACTCGACGAAAAAGTGATACTTGACTGGGCACAGAAAGTGAGCAAACGTCATGTCTCAAAAAAAATAGCGACTGAGATACATGAGAAAGTAGTGCCATTTGTCCAGTGGCTTAAGAATGCTGAGGAAGAAGAATCTTCTTCCTCTGAGTCTTATGAACACAATGAAAATGTATACCCGGTGGAGGACTACAAATTGAAACCAGTTAAATCACCAGAAAAAGTCAAACAGAACGATGACAATGCAGACGAAGAGGATCCTTTAAATATTGATGATATTTAATCTACAAGCACAGCAGAAGCACAAGTGTCTTAAAAAAAAAATCAATGTGGAAAACGAATTATACATTTGAGGGGTTAAGTTACAGGTGTAATTGTACTCATTGAGTTAATAAGGTGCTCATCGTATAATTTATCCCAGCACCATAGAATTTTTTAAGTTGATTTATCGCTTTATCATCATTCTATTGTAAGCATTACACTTACAAGAATTTGTAACCATAGTCGTTAAATTAACCTATTTACTATTCCCCCAAAAAAAAAACGAATAATGAATAAAATAAAATTTTAAAATGTAAAAATTTTAAATAAAACAATAATAATAGGTGGGCAATGGATGGGTTTCGTAGTAGAAACTAACAATGGATATTGTTCGCCGCTGTGAACTATGAAGCCTAAAATATTTGCTTCATATACATATGTATGACTATAGGATTGAATTAAGGGGGGACATCTGAGTAGAGTTTTGAAAAAATCGAAAATTTTTTTTTTCGCTTAAAAAATTCTTTTGGGTCTTAAAAATAACATATCAAAAGATAGAGTCCGGCCAAAGTGTCTAAGTGTCGAAATTTTCCATTCTGCGGCGATGCCTCACAGGTATATCCCACAGTACTTAAAACTTTAAACGCGTTTTTCTCGAAACCACTTTTTTTGAGTTGGCCGAACACCTAACTCGAACAACTCTTAACCTATCGATCTAAAATTTTGACAGTATACTCAGAACACCTATGTCTATCGACACACGTAGGATTTTTTTTTTATTTTGTTTACTTTTTTTTTTTATCAACAGTTTTGTGATGTTTTTTGTTAGTGAAAATTGAAAATTTTGTTTAATCACTTGCCATTTTGGAAAAAATCAATATATCGAAAAAATCCTACGTGTGTCGATAGCCGTTGAGATGAAGAAACTAACCAAACTTGATTTTTTGTTCTAGATCAAAAATTAAGGACGTTAGGTGTTCGGCCATGGACCCCCTTTAAAAAAATAGGGCCTACGAATAAGGGTTGCAGGGCCGCCATTTTGTTTTCGATTTATTAAAAAAAAATTTTATTGTGTAGTTTAAATATAATATAATAAAACCCCATTTACAAATTTTCGATTAGCTGTTTTGATTTTGCCAAAAAAAATTCGAGAAAAACCGCTTTTTTTTGGCCTGTTACTCAGATTTCCCCCCTTAAGTGCGCCTGTGACGAGGAAAAAATAATTCGAGTGAGAGTGTAGCGTTTAATTCGAATGCATTTTATAAATTTACTACATTACATTACATTAGAAAACCTATTTATTAGAATAACAAATTTTAATAAAGTCCCAATCTTCAAGCTTCTATCTTCCAAAATACCAAAGCTTGGATATTTTCGATCTTTCATTTATATATCAGCTATAGGACAGAGTTATTTTGCTAAAATTAAAATCCATAGAATTGACCAACACTGTACCTCTAAAAACACCTTTTGCCATTTTCTATAAATAAGTTATATTCCAGCCCAGTCTTTTCGACCTTTATAATGCTTTAAAAGGAATAAAGGGTGTATGCAAAGTTTCAAGTTGATAGCTTTAAAACTGGGAACTAGATGTTGGAGATGTCTCTTTCACTGCGTTGCACACTTTTGACTAAAACTATAATATAAGGGTATAAAAGGTAAGGAAAAGAAACTGTAATCGATTTTCCAGATTAAAGGAAACCCGGTACTTTTCTGTTCCACATTGCTGCTTTTTTTTCTAGAATGGATTTTCTAGATTCCATTTCTTGGAAGTTGTACCGAAAAAATGGCGTCAAAGTACGAAAAACCCGACAAAAATTCAAAAATGTAAGTTTGTGTAATAATTGTATCCTGTTTGTTTTAATTAGTTTAGGATCTATTTTTTTTTTTTTCAAAACTAAAAACTATTAAAATTTTAAAACGTAGAAAATTTTAAAACTTGCCTAAAATTACGCGTTAAGGAATTTTTAAGAGCAAAAAAGTGCCGAAAAACCGTTTTTTCTAAATAAATCAAAATTTTGAGGGTGTTAGAAATATTTCAAACACGGTTTTGTTCTATATTCGACCTAATAAACAATTCCTACTAGGTCTCTTCAAAAGTTCCAAATCATTGTCGCACTGTGATATTAAATAATAATAAAATTTTGGATATAATTGGCCGATTGTTGGTAGAGTTTTATTTAAAAACCAATTTCTTAGGGTACATAATAAAAAAAACCGTCTCAAGCTTGTTCTTCAAAAACATCTAAGTTGGTATTTTACGAAATATTATTTCTGATCAATCAGTTACACCGCGTGTAAAAGAAAGAAGGATGTGGGCAAAGTTTTATGTCTATAGCTTTAAAACTGAGAGACTAGTTCGCTTAAAAAAAGACAGACTGACATGCTTAAATCATCTCAGGAAGTGGTCCTGGCTTATATGGTTTTTTATATATAAATCCAAATAAGTTAGAATAAAACCTTCATAAAACCAAAAAATTATTAGGCATTGAGATCCATTGAGGTTGAATGGAAATATATTTATAATATTTCCACGACTTCGTTACAAAGGTTGTTTTGAAAATAAAAAACGCGCCCCTAAATACAAATTAAAAATTAAAATTAGTTTTGGGTGTTTAATATTGTTGAATGATATATTTTTTTCAAATCAAATTAACCTCCTGAGTTTACAGTCTAAGTTTTAAAGCTAAAATTAAACTTCAATTTTGCGCACATCCTTATTTCCTTAAAAAGAAAATATACAGTGGGTACTTTACGCAGTTTCGGCTCTTATAATTCGCTGTCTAAAATTCGGAGAACTTAGACCAAGCTTGGTAAATCTAAGCGAAGTACCATATATGGCGTCACATATCATTGCTGACCCCTCACTCCCTCCCTTGTGCTTTTAATGGATCGGCAATCTGCACTTGCCCTCTTGTTCGGGACTGTCTTTTTCGATCGTACTCTCTCGTTTCGTTCTCGCTGGCTCCCCTATTTTAAAAGAGCGTCGTACTTTTCCTGGGGTTATGCTACCTCATGTGCTTATTCTTGGACAGGTTGACTGACGAGTACTTCTTGAAAAAATAAGGTTCTCTGTTCCTAATAGGGTAAACTAGATCCTTCCGACCCCTTTGGTTACCGATTTCAAGGTCTAATTTTGCGGAACACGATCCATTTCGCGTTATTTGTAAAAATTATAAGTCATTGTCCCATTTATTATCCCCTGAACTATCCCTAGATGTAATTAAATCCAAAATTATGGAATATCTTTTAGCTTAATTTATCCTTACTTTTAGTTATAATAATCTAGAATAACAGTTCATTGTTAATAAATAAATAATAAAATATTTGTTAGGCGTTGAGCCGCGTTTGAATTATTATTCTCGCCGTCGCCTTTGATTCTGGATTGTTCGCGACTGATTGCTTACATTAGCTAAGATATAAAATTAACATAAATAATTAAATATCAGGCTTAAGGGTTTGTATACGGCGCAGTTGTACGGCGCAAAAAAATGAAATTTTATCGATTTTTTTTTGACACCATAGAAAATATTTATCAAAAATGTTTTACCGACGTTGTTTAGTACATGTTTCTGGGCACTTATTTAAATTTTTTCCTAAAAAAATATTAAATAATAAAAATGTTATAGCCGAATTCCAAGATCGTATTTTTCGAAGGTGTCTTGCGGTGGACATCATATCCCGAGAACGGTTCATCCGAAATCAAAAATTCATCATTCATCGTCCATCAGACTCGAAGCGATTAATTTTTGTTTCACCCGACCCTTGGAAACCCAGATGGACGCTCTTGGTATGGAACTAGAGATTCTATGATGCAGTCACCAAGGCATATGCAAAAAACCGTCAAGCACGGTGGCGGTTTGGGGGTGAATTCATTTAAATGGAGTTGGTCCTTTAGTGTTAATCGATGGGATAATGCGGAAAGAGCAATATCTAGCCATTTAACAAAAGAATATTACAATAATGTTTAGCCATTTTCGAAGGTTATTGAGAATATGGGTCTTTTTGCCCAAAAATGCGTTTTCAAGGAAAGGCAACGACCCGAAGCACACGTCCATAATGGTGAAAAATTGGATTTCAAAACAGAAGTTTCAATCTATGAAGTGGCCACCACAATCTCCCGATATGACTCCAATAAAAAACTTGTAGAGTCCTGTGAAATCGGAGCTGTCGAAATATGCAGTCCCTCCAAGTGGAGTGAAGGAGTTGTGGGAACGGACAAAGGACATATGGAATGCTGTTCCACCGGAAATGGTACAACGGTATATCCAAAGTATGTCCAATCCCATAGAAGACCTGGAAAAGTCCAAAGAAATGTGGACTCATTATTAATAAAACATACATAAAAATATTTGTTAATAAAATAACCAGAGTGCAAAACTGTAACATTTGACTTTTTTTTACTGTTTGGCGTGTCATTTTCTTGAACTGATATCAAATAACTTCTAGTTTTACTCAATAGTAGTAAATTATATAACCTACAAAACAAGATAACCTACACAACCTTAACCTTATATAACCTACAACAAGGTGCAGACCTTTGAACTTGAAACATTGAACTCGTGTTACAGTTTTGCTCGTTAGTGTAATTGGAAAAAATTGGAACATAACATGTGCCACATGCTAACATAATTGAAGGGAATTATAGAACATAATTTTGCAGTAACGATCGGAAAACTCTCGGTAACTTAACAGAGTACATGTTTAACAATTGATTTTTAAATGCTTAGCTCTAGCTTAATGCTTAATGCTCTTTTTTCTCTAGGATGCTAGGAGGAGGCACGTTCACAATAGCTGGACTATATTAATACAATCCTACTTCATAGATTCCAGAACGCTAAAATCTCCAAGGTTAGGTCACACAGAAATATTAGTCTATCATTCCTATCCACGCTCTTAAAGATACTACAACTTTATCTTTTTTGTATTTTGCCACAGGTAGTACTGTTATATGATCTTACCAGTCGTTTTCATTGTGGAAAACGTCCTCGGACCAAACGTTTATCTCCTACATAAGTTCGTTATACTTACTTATAGCTATACTTCTCTCTCTTCCTCTTAAGAAAACGGTCGTTTTTTTTTTGTGCGCACTGCGTTTATTATAAATATTTCCGCAAACCGGTTTTTACTAACTTAAGAATAGAAATTTGAGAAATTTCAGTTTATCCTAAACCGTATCGCTTTGCGAGTGCTGTGGTATATTCGGAGGCGAATAAAGAATTTATTTAATTTCAGTGATTCGCCTCAGCCTGCTCACCTGACATTTTCCAAGTAAGTACACCACTTTTAGACGGGATAGACCTCAGCGAAGGGGGGGTTGAGCCCTTATTTCCGTAGACTCCCTACTTGCTTCTGAAGAGGTGAAATCACAAGAGTTTGGTGACATACTTGTAGAATGTATTTGCATTAAAATCATTTTGTTCGCTTCATCTTTATACATTACATGTTGATCATGTTCATATTGGCATCATTTGTTTCGTTTTTTCGTTAAGATCCGTTTTTAATCTTATGACTGATCGTGACCAGCTTATTGCTGTGGACGACTTAAATATCCCAGAATTAAAGTGGTCCAAAGTTGATAACTCACTATGTAGATACTATCTACATAGGTTATGCAGAAAAACTACACCGAGCGTTCTACTAGAAAGCCAGCATATTAACACGCTTAAATTTTAAAATTCATAATAGAAGGACTAGAAACTTTAGTTCTCTATTCCTTAACCATTGTAGTTCGACCATTGTAGCATCCACATATGCACAGCACGACCCTTTTAGGGTATTATGTTTGAGCTACAATGGTCTCTACTCTATAAAATCTCGTTCCTGTCCTTCAAATTTAAAATATAGAATTTTAAAATTCCGTAGAAACTCCTAGCTCAATAAATTACAAATAGCTTAATACATTTTTGTTTTTTTCCTTATTACTCCTCTCGGGAGCTTAGGGCCTCTACAAGGGCTCTCCACCTAACTTTATTTGCCGCTGTTTGCTTTATTGTGTCCCAGCTGATGTTCTTCCGGGATATTTCTAGGAGTGCTGTACGGCGCCAGGTCATCTTTGGGCGACCCACTCTTCTGCTTCCTTGTGGGTTCCATTCCAGAGCCTTTCTTACGATGCTTTCTGGTACCTTCCTCAAAGCGTGGCCAATCCATTTCCATTTCCGTTTCTTTATTTGCTCCTGGATTGGGACCTCTCCTGTGCAGTGCCATAAGTCCTCATTGGATATTCTATCTGGCCAGAATACCCCAAGTATTATTCTAAGGCACTTATTGATGTAAGCCTGCAGCTTCATCAATATCCTTTGAGTGGTCAGCCACGTCTCCGATCCGTATAGCAGTATGGATTTTACACACGAGTTGAATATGCGCAGCTTTGTTTTTCTGTTTATCTGGTGGTTTCTCCATACTCGGTGTAGTCTTCCAAATGCAGACCTCGCTTTGCGCAGTCGGTTCTCCACATCACTTTCCACTCCACCATTTGATGTTATGATAGTACCAAGGTAGGTGAAGCTGTCGACGAAGTCGATGGTATTATCTCCGATTGTGATGTTGTTTGTGTTGGAGTTGTTGATCCGCATAGCTTTCGTTTTTGATGCGTTGATCTTTAAGCCTACTGCGCTGCCTCGGATCTCGAGGTCCCTAGCTTTGGCTTGAATGTCTTCGAATTTGTGAGCCAAGAGACATATGTCATCCGCGTAATCCAAGTCTTCTAGATGTCGGGTGAAGTTCCAGGTGATTCCGCGTCTGTTCATGCATACTTTTCTCATAATTTCGTCGACTACCAAGTTGAACAGAAGTGGTGATAGAGGACATCCTTGCTTGACGCCTGTGTTCGTCTGGAAGGGTGCACTAATTTTCCCGTTGTGCAGTACCGCCAGCTCAGCATCATCATACATAGCTTGTTTATGTTTATGATTTTCACTGGCACTCCCTTTCTTGCAAGTGCCCTCCATATCGCTGTCTGTCTACCGAATCGAATGCCTCCCGGAAATCTATGAACAGGAGGTACAGCGGCGAACGCCATTCCAAAGTTTGTTCGGTTATTGCGCGTAGTGTGTTTGCCTGGTCTACGCAGCTCCTGTGTGGTCTGAAACCTCCTTGTTCATCTCGTATTGTTGGCTCTATCTTTTCCTGAAGACGTTCGTGTAGTAGAGTGGCTAGTACCTTGTAACTTGTGTTCAACAGGATAATGCCTCGCCAGTTGTTGCAGTCACTGAGGTCTCCTTTCTTCGGTAGCTTAATGATGATTCCTTTTTTCCAGGATGTTGGGATCCGCTCACTTTCCCATATATTATTGAAATGTGGATGCAGTGTTTCGGCCATTAGTTGCGTGTTAATCTGGAGAAGTTCGCCCGGTATGCCGTCATCTCCAGCCGCTTTGTTGCGTTTTAATATCCTGATTGCATCCTTTATTTCTCTAATTGATGGTGCCGTGGGTGATATTCTGAGGTTATTGCTCGGTACAATACTCCTGAAGTTATATTGTGTGCTGCTCGGTTGTTCTGTGCAGCTGATCTCCATAAAGTGCTGTCGCCATCTCTGGAGTTGTGCCTCATCATCAGTAAGGAGTCTTCCATCTGGGTCTCGCACTGGTTGGGTTCGCCTATGGCAGCTTCCGGTCAGTTGACTAATTATCTGGTACAGTTAGCGCATGTTGTTCGAGTTGGCTGCGCTTTCTGCATTTTCAGCGAGCCTGTCCAGAAATTTTCTTTTGTCGTTTCTTGCTGACTTCTTCACCATCTTGCACAGCTCTTTGTGTTCGTCGCGAGCTCTGCAGTCATGTTCTGCTTTCGACTTTAGGCTGTTCCGTTTGCTGATAAGTTCCCAAGTGTGCGCTGATATCCAATCCGTGCGCCTGCGTTGTCGGGTGCCAAGCATCTCCTCCGCGGTGCTCCTCAGTATACTGCATGTTTGTTCCCATGAGTGATTCAACGGTTGTGCTGTCATCTGTTCACGCAACGTTGTGGCCATTCTGGTGGATAGGTTGGAGTCACTCAGCCGCTGTTGACGGTGTTGCTATTTCGTCTGAGCTTGATTAAAAGCTCTCCGATTATCAGCTCGTGGTCACTGTCGATAGACGCGTGATTCCTAACATCCATTATCGAGCGTCTCCATTTCCTACTTATGCAGATGTGGTCGATTTGGTTGCGAGTATGTCCATTCTGAGAGGTCCATGTGTATTTATGGATTTCCTTGTGAGGGAATACAGTACCACCAATAACCAGTTGGAAGGTCTGACATAAGTCGATTAGCCTGTCACCATTATTGCTGCGTGGGCCAACACCATGTCGGCCCATGATTGTTTCCAATCCGTTGTTGCTGGGGCCGATTTTCGCATTGAAGTCTCCCATGAGAATTTTTATGTCACCTCTTTCGATCCTAGTGAGTGAGGATGTGAGGGCGTTGTAGAAGTCGTCTTTGATGTCATCGCTGGCGTCTTCTGTTGGGGCATAGCACTGCACGATGGTGATGTGTCTAGCATTGCATCGGAATCTGGCAATGATGATTCTGTCGGATACTGGGCTCCAGGAAATTAGTACCTGTTTGTACTGTTTGGACACATATATCCCGACTCCGCTTCTTCCTCCATCATTGGTCCCGCTGTGCATCACTAGATTGCCGCTTGATGTTGTTGTTGTCCCGTTACCTCTCCATCTCATCTCACTGATGCCTGCGATTGCAATCTGCATTTTCTCCATTTCTCCTTCAAACTGCGCCAGTCTGGTTGGTTCCATTAAAGTTGTTCTTGTATTGTTCTTGTATTAAAGTAGTTCTTGTATTAGTTTCGTTAATCAATTGTTTTTCAGTTGATCCGGTGATTAGCCAGGTGCAACCTATCCCAGAGGTGGGGCTGCCACCTGTCGATATCTGGGAATACCGTTTTTCGACCTCACATGTTTAGTAGCATCGGAAAGAGACCACTAAGCATAATGAAGCCGAAAAACTTTGGAGGTCATGATTGCCATGAGTGGGGTTCGAACCCACACCCACAACCCGTTTAATCAGCCCATTGCCGATCTATTAGCAAAATTTTTTCAAACAACTTATTCTCCGCCTAAAATGACATATCACCCTTACGCATACAACATTCAATAAGCAAATATTATTTTCTGTCCGTTTTTCTCCGAGAGTAGCTTATTACTTGATTTTCTAGGGGTCAAATCCATTTATACGCCAGGCCCCAATGAAGAACCAGGCTGTGTGCTAAAATACTGTGTCAGGACTCTGTAAAAACCTCTTAATAGACTTTTAAACTTAAACCTCGAGATCTCGATTTTTCCCCTTAAGTGGAAGGAATGTTTCATAATTCCCTCACAAAAAAAGGGAAAAAGTCCGATGTTGCCAGCTACAGAGGCATCTTTAAATTGTCGGAAATTCCTAACTTATTTGAAAAATTAATTACTCCTTATTTGAACTTCTTCGCTCTTTGATCATCATATCTCCATGCCAGTCGAATCGAAACGCATGTAGACGTGTATTTATTGTGCTCCGGGAAAAAAGTGTTCAATAATATCAAAAAAGTGCAGTGACTGGTTTCGTAAATCAAAAACAATGCGAAAAGACGCTGTCAGCGATGAAATCGCTAATGTTTATATTGATTAATTAATTAATTAATTAATTAATACAAAACATAACATAAAAAACTCGAACAAACTCAACCTCGATTGCAATGAGTCTAAACGACGTTCGCAGACAACGTCAACGTGAGCAAGACGAGAGGATCTCAGTAGATAGAAAACGCTTACTTCACTTTGCAAAGTAGTAATGCAAGCTCATCCCAAACACGATTAATTACCCCAAACTTGACCGAATTCTTAAACGTAGAGAACGAGAGAGCGCGTTCTTGCTCCCCCTCGCTACCATCGAAGTCTCTGCAGCCAAAGAGCGCAATAACTAGCACCGCAACTTCTTTGACAACGTCAACCGTAACAACAACAACAACCGCAACTGTAACGACAGCGCGTTTAACAACGTCATCAGCTAGCAGCGCAAATATTAATACTTCTTCCGCTGCGCTGCCAGAAAAAGAGAACAAAAACAAAGAAAATATTAAGCCGGCTGTGCAGACTGGTATGGATCCCTACATCCAAATCAAAAGGATGCTGAGCCCCTAAACTCTCAACGCAAAATAACCCTTGGCAATGCTAACATAGCTGCAATAGAAACGCCCTCGAACTCAAACCGTTTTAAAATCTTGGCAGACTATGAGGATGACGCCGAATCTACAGATGTCGAAAAAGGAAGCCTAAGCCCCTGCCAATTTACATACGAGAAAAAAGTTCCAAAATTCCAAATTCAACAAAATTATAGAGCTTATTGGCAAGGAAAACTTCCACATAATACCACTCGTAAAGGGCAATATCCAGGAAACAAAAGTTCAAACGAAGTCTGAAGATAATTACAAAGTATTATCGAAATACCTCATCGACAAAAAAAAGAACTTTTACACGTATTAGCTAAAAAGCAGCAAGGGTCTGTAAGTCGTACTTAAGGGCATAGAGTCCGAAGTATCGTCTGCAAAGAAAACAAAGGTGTAAATCACACTAACTATATAGGTTGCGCAGTTTATAAGGAGCTGAAAAGTCGCATCCACCAGAGGGGAGTTCTTCCTCTGAAGTCTTCTTCTTCTGAAGTCTTCATCTCGACTGCAGCCAGCTCCTCACTAGAACCCATAAACTTTGCCAATAATGTTACATACGCAAGCGCTTTAAAATCAGGACTGACTACCCCAGCCTCAAAAAGCTCACTGCCGCAATAATCACACCAAGAAGCGAACACGGCTCAGCAGCATCAACCGCCGGAGCAGCCAAAAAGGAACTTTGAAGCTATGATATGCAGTCTACAACAAAGCCTTGCGGAGTTTATGTTGTTTATGCGTACAACTATGCAAGATCTAATGCGAAACCAAAATCTACTAATACAAATGCTGGTTTCACAACAATCCAAATAATGACTTCCGTACGACTATCTACGTGGAACGCTAACGGCGTTTCGCAGCATAAACTCGAGATAGCGCAATTCCTACTAAACAATCAAATCGACGTAATGCTGCTTTCAAAAACACATCTTACAAACAGATACAATTTCCAACTACGAGGATATTCATTCTATGGAACAAATCATTCAGATGGTAAAGCACACGGTGGGACTGCATGTCTTACAACATCTTACAACAACGTTTGCCGATGACACAGCTATTCTTAGCCGCTCAAAATGCACGATTCAAGCAACTGCGCAGCAAGCTCTTCATATGATCGATGTCGAAAAATGGCTGTCAGATTGGCGAATTAAAGTGAACTAACTAAAATGCAAGCATGTTACGTTCACTCAAAACAGGCAAAACTGCCCGCCGATAACATTAAACAATACTCTTTTTTTTTGCTTGTGTGCAAAGTTTCAAGACGATAGCTTCAAAACTGAGAGACTAGTTCGCGTAGAAACGGACAGACAGACAGACGGACAGACAGACGGACAGACAGACGGACAGACGGACATGCTCATATCAACTCAGGAGGTGATCCTGATCAAGAATATATATACTTTATAGGGTCGGAGATGTCTCCTTCACTGCGTTGCACACTTTTGGACAAAATTATAATACTCTCTGCAAGGGTATAATAAAAGTCATCTTTGAAAAAAATTGTATCCTTTTTAAAGAGGCAAAAGCTTAAAGTTAGTTGCATTAAAATATTGGCTTTGGATTCGCTGAAATGGGCGTTTGAATTGGTTGACCTTTTAAGCCACTTCCGTTCTGTGTCCCGTGGGAATCACTCGACTTCTGCAATTATCTTCCAAATGGAAAAATACCCAACATCAATCTTTGCCCCAATGAAAAAGCTAATAAAATGCTATGCATTAAACATAAAATTAAAAAGAAAAAATTGTTTCCTTTTTTCCGTTTTTTATTTTGAGCGCGTACGAATGTCCCGCGTACGGTGTCGCGTACAATGGTCTCTACTCTATAACATCTCTTTCCTGTCCCTCTAATTTAAAATATAGAATTTTAAATTTCCTTACCTCCTCCTCTTAGCTTAACAAATTACAAATAGCTTAATATGTACTAACAAATCGTTTATCGAGCGCCCCTCGGTCGTCTGGGCCTCTAAGCTTTATGTTGAATACAGGAATGCTAGCTGATGCTCTAATTGATGCAATTTCCACAAGCAATTTCCAAAATTCGGAAAGACCGCAAAAAAAAAAAAAAAACGTAAATAAGCTCCTTGTCCCTATCTCTATCCCTTTATACAAATGAATTAGCCGCTAAGTAGCGGGAGTCTGCACTTCTAAGCTAATCGTGCGGCTCAGACCACCGCCGTCGGTATATAACCGCAATAAAGAACAATAAATATAACGTGTTGATTATTCATTGGGAAAACTGAGAAAATATCAAAATTGAATGTTTAAAATATTAAATATGTACATTTAAATTGTAAAAATTTTGTAAATTCAAAGGCCTTTGAATAAAGGGGACTTTGCGTGTTCGTTACAACAGAGTTGTTTTAACTTGACATGAGTTTTCTAAGTTGTCTATACTTGTAAGACTTATAAATTGTTGGATTCAAATTGCAGTCGGGTAACAAAGAAATTATCGTTTATATTATCCATGGTTGAAGAGAACAAGTAGGTGTTGAATTTTTGATTATTAAATAATAAATATATATAGCTCGCAGAGAATTCGCGGAAAACAACAACTACGAAAAACAACAAATTAGCGGCAATATCAAAAATTGTCAAGCCTCACAAAACCCATCCGCCGCCTAAAAAAAAGGCCAACGTGAAATAGAAAATGTAAGACTCCAGCGATTTCGAGCATGGCAAAATCAAGCGCAGGTTAAAAATGCTTCAAAGATGAGGAACTAGTCACCAGCGAGGCAGCCAGAGCTGCACTTTTGCAGCGACGATGAAATGGATTCTGCCGACGAGGATGCTGATTCCCTCTCCAAAAACCTCCATGAAGGATGATGAACAACAGAAAGCCCCCAAGGAGATTAGGACGCCGCCCATCTATATAACAGACGTCACCAACATCAAAGCTCTTTGTAAAGCCATCTCCGGCGCCTTATGCGAAAAGGTAGATGTCACCTATAAAGACGGTCAGAAAAACACCACAAGAGTTATGACACTTGTTTTTTGTTTTGACTTAATTTTATTTATTTTCTACTTAATTTTATTATTTTTTTGTTAAATGAATATAATTTAATTATTTTGTATAATGTTTTAAAATGAAAGAAGACCCAAAAACATATGGTATACATGGTCTGAGCCCAGAACACGAAAAAGAAAAATTTTTTCTAGTTTTTGAGGTTATGTCGTAACCCTGACATTCTAAAGTTTGGACTCGAATTTAATTTTTATGAGGTTTTTTGAGGTTATGTCAGAACCCTGACGTGCTAAGGTTTTTTGGACCTCGGATTTGGATTCAGCGACCCGGAAAACCATTTTTTTTGTGTGGCTGTGTAATCAAAGCAGCTTTTCTCTTGTCTTCGCAAGCCGTATCTTTAAATAAAACTAATTAATATAAAAATGTGTTAAATTATTACCCACATAATAAATTATTACGTTATGCTGAGAATGCTGAAAATTTTGCAGTTATTGCGGTTTTGCAATAAGTCGAGCAGGTCTCGCAGATGAGCGCCATCAACGATCAGTTTTTGCGAATGCGACTGGGGGAACATGCTGGTCATTCCAACGGTCTTTA